TCTTCATCTCTATAACTTAATATTTATTATTTGTAATATTTGAAAAAATAACTTAAATCATTGATTTTTTAAAAATTATCATTTGATTTAAATCATACCAGCTTTAATTTTTGGTGACACTTTTAGCCAAAAATAGAATTGTAATTTTGATACAATATAAATCATTGGCACCATGACTATTTTGGGTAAGTCTTTAAAAACCAAGGAAAATGAAATAAATTTGTAAATTATACTAGTTTTATGTTTGGCAAGTTGATTCATCTTGTAGTTAGTAATAACATACCAGTAAATATGCTTAGTGTTCTGGGATTAAAGAGGGAATTTCCATTGTTTACAAAAAAAATCTTTTATGAAATGAAAATTTGTGGAAGATCTAACAATTTTAATTTGGCCTGTTTCTCCCAAGTTTTAGGCAATCTTAACTTTAAAATAAACAATTGGCACAAATTTCTTATGTTTAGGCTGCAATACAAGATTTTTCATTTTCTATAGCTATCTGACTGGTTACTGCACATCATGACAATAATTCCACAAAGTCCACACACAAACTATCCTCATTGAAACCTACACATGGGCAAAACAATACTGAATTGTTACGGATGACAGAATTTTGATGGTATATGTAGAAAAATTGGATTAGATTTTTACTATAATTATCAATAATATTACAGGATTTATTGTTCAGATGAATCAATTACCAATTCAAATTTGGCTACATTTAATTCAAATCATCTATAATATATTAACCTTCTGAAGCATTGAAGGATGTGAACTTTCCAAAAAAGTATCATACCTATCTTAATATTTCTAAATTTTTAAAATAAAGTTTACATATTCAGAGTATATTATTTATTACACACAGTTCTTTTATTACACATTCCAAAACAAAAGTTTTTTAATTGTTCACATTCAAAATTGTTTTGGTTATTTATTAATATATTTCCAGTGCTTGTTTGGCAACTTTTTCTAAACAAGGCAATTATATACACATATATATTGCTGAAATAATATATTTGTCTACAATATCGCCGAGTCTAACAACAATTGCAGCATCAATGGAAAAAAGATTTAACTGGCACACATTGTAATAAGATTTTCTTGAAATGTTCTTTGAGAAGACAAGAAGGCTGGGCTTGTAGGAAACACTGTTGATACAATTTCATCTTCTAATGTTAGTGAAGTCAAATTCATTTATATCTTGCCAGTTATCATACTGCAACTCGAAGATCACCTCCAGAATGGAAACGTAACTAGTACACCTAAGCAAATAAAATTAATTACATTTTCATCATATACTAATGAGAGTGTACCTATTCTAGAAATGCAAACTATAATCAATTATGCATATTTGAAAATGAGACTTTTGAATACCAGGGTATTGCAAACAATGGATATATGGATATACAATGGAGATATTACAAAACTTGTCCAATACCATACGAAATAATAAAATTACAATACTTTTAAACAAATAGAACAGAATAAATGACATGTACAGGTTAGGTTATACTACATGGTTTTATGGATTTTTAAGACTATTTTGCATGGTGTAAATGTTCACAAATGAAATAATCAATTACAATTTAATGGCAAACAAGATTCCAAAATGAAATTATAAATACCTGCCCACTGTTTCGGTAGGCGAAATCCTTAGCATATGTCTTGTCTAGCACCAGTTTTCTTTAATAATCATCTTCAAAATTACAGTTGTGAAAACCAATAGTTCTTAGACAATGACAAATATATCTTCGACTAAACTTCATCCGCTTTTAACTTAAAATGGATGACCATGTCTACATCATTAACAAATGCTAAAAAATTCATAAAAAAGCCCTAACCTGCTGCAGCCTCACGTAACGAAAATACAAACACCGCCTACTGCCCAGCTTTTCGAATTGCATGACGTCACAGGTTTAGTTCGGCTCACTACAGAACTGTTGTAGATGGCGCAAAAATCATTACCCTGTTTTGACCGCCAAGTTTACCTACCCTGATAAACAGTGACTCAGACGTACAGGCTCACGCTTCAACCGTGCGGGTATACTTGCCCTTCTTCCAAGGTGTCGTAAGGCAATGGAAAGATACGCAGATTATGTGGAAAAATGACTTTTTGTTCCTCAAATAAGGATCAATATACTGTAAAAATATCAAAGGTAAGGAAAAGAAATTGAATGTTTAAAAAATTGTGCATTGCTGATGGAGTGACCCTCGTACATATGCAGAATCTATTACGTTGTGTGGACAATACACTCGTAATATAATGTCCTGTATTCAGTAAGGGAATATACAATCGATTTTCTGGAATTTTGTTGAAACTTAAAAAAGCGAAAATTTGATTTTAAAGTGAAATCGTAAAACAAAGTAACTTTCTAGTACGAATAAGTCTGCATTCCTGAAACAATACCAATTGCCGGTAAGTGAAGAATTAATCGTTATTTAATGGTCAGAGATTGGCATTTTCTTTTATGGATTAATGTTGCACCTACAAGGCCATAAGCGTGACGTACAAGAGAAATATTTTGTCTGTGATGTTTTTGAATTATAGCGTTATACTTGTGAATATTTTCTCAAGGATTACAGTTGTATTGCCCTAGAAGATAACGACTCTTGCCCTTAAAATACAAGGATATTTTTTTCAAATGTTCTAATACCTTTCAAATTACTCAAAAATTCAGTATTAAAAATATTTTCAACGAACTTTCAAGCAAACTATCAAGTTTTATTCCATAATTCCTTCACATCGGGCAGCTCAACAACAACTTCCTTTTAGGTGTTTGTTGTACAAATATTTTTTAAAATTCAAAAATGTTCCTTGTCCAATTATAAAACCTTGCAGGAAAGCTATCGTTGTCTTATTTATTCGCAGACGGTACTGTTCTTTGGAACTATTCCGGAATCCATCTACACATCACCCTCGTACTTCGAACTACAGCAAGATGGCGTCAATTTCTCCCGACAGCAGCCCGAGCGCAAGCAGCGCCGCTGTCACTGACCTTGCACCGACTGCTCCTGGTAGAAGACGATGATCGGGATGGAAAAGATGGCGCTGAGGAACCAGGCGACAGCCACCAGCACGCGCGCCCGCCGCCCTGCGCACGCGCCGCAGCACACAAACACATCACCACAGCACGCAGGCACACCACCATAGCACACGCGGATAGATCATCGTAGCACAGAATATAGAAAGTACACAGAACGGAAACGTCCCTGCACTTCGCGCGCCAAATTCAAGCTGTGTCCGCCGTACTGAAACCGAGCATTCGGCTGCCCCAACGTCACATATACTGCGAATTTTACAACTCTGCCCCTGGCAGGTATCAGCTGTTGACAGTTTTATCCAATCGGGAGCTTGGACGCCACCATGGCGCTATGGTGACGTTAAAGTTCCCGATTGGATGAAACTGTCAACAGCTGATACCTGCCAGGGGCAGAGTTGTAAAATTCGTAGTATAAGACATCTATACTTTATATATCGATTTATTTAGAGCTGCCCACTGGTAAATCAGTCCCATGACGTCACTATGGTGTCGTTCAACCTTCTAATTGGATGATACCGTAACAGTTGATTTACGTAAGGAGCAGCTCTAAATAAATCCAAGGGTAGGGGCATTCGCTGCTTGCAGTTGTTGCTGAATCTACCTTGCTGCGTTGTGATTGTTTGTTATTTGTTTATTTGCTGCTTTTAGTTTGTAAATTTCGTGTAACTGATCGTTGCCCATGGTTAGGTGTGCGTCGTTGTGGCTATTAAATTGGTAAATATTTTATAGTTAATAATGAATGTTATTAATAAGAAAGGTGAACGACAATGTATTTATTGTTTCTTGTTCATTGGTTTCCTTATTGTATCCTGGTTTATTGGTTCACCTACTTTCCTCGACTTTTTGTTAAAAGCTCAATTGTCAAAGATGTTTCATGGAGGTAGAGTATTCCCTACTTATTCCTATGTACAATTATCGTGATTTACTCGGTTTCAATATGGTGATCGGCTCAACCTTGCCGTCTTTCGCAGACCAAAGAAATCGGTACCAAGTTTCCTTTCTGTGAACTGTACATTCTGTGACCATATAATAGCACAACAGCGCAGCGTCGCAGCACACAAGCACAACACAATAGCACACTGTGCCATAGCACAAACTGGCACAGCGCTATGGAAAATCACATACAGTGCATCGCCATAGCACAGCGACCTCTTATACAACTTATTTAACAGTCCCGCACAAACACCAGTCTGGGCACAAGAGAACATCAAAGGGACAAAATGTAATGACTAATCTAAGGTTTACTTCTTTAATGTGAGAGGTACCTTCTTAATGAGCAAGTCTGGCATTAGGAAAAGCGGGGGGGGGGGTCAATAAAACGATTACACAATGAAGAGAGTTTCGAATTCTTTGGTAAACATCCGATAAGGTTGAAAGACGAACTATCAATTAGTCTAAGAAGGTTCTAATAACAAAGCTCTAAACGATTAAACATCGACTCACACACTAACATTAAACAAAGGAGGCAAACCAAACTACGTTGGGGTCAGTTGTTGATTCCCCTAATGGTAACAAAAGCTGCTAATCTCAGTGATAAGGTTCATGAGCTACCGTCATTATCAAATATCTACGATATGAGCACATGAGCTAACATTCGTGAGTTCCTCTCCTTCAGTTCTACCGCAATCTTTTCACACTAAAACATACATCAGCGTTCCACTCCTTCACACCGCTGAGGTACATAGACTAGAGAAGCAACAACGATAGCAAAACATCGATGTTCAAAATGAAAATATCGATTTTAAAAATACATCGTCAAAAAACCATCGATGTTTTTCAACATCGATGTTTTTAGATCTCTAACATGAAATTCGTGTCCATTAAAATTGAGTTTGACAGTGTTCTTGTTTATCAATGCGCCGAACAGGGGTACGAGAAAAAGGGGTAATCCCTATGCCCACGGCGTATTTGTTGACCATAACTCAATGTGCGAAATGAATATGAAGAAAGAGGAAATACAAAGGCATGGAGGTCATCTCAGGGGAGAGAGTTTGGTCAATGAAGGTAGTGCAAATAGCGTTCCTTTAGTTCCAACACATGAACTAACAGTGTTACTAACAGTTATAATTCGTATTTTTAACTTTACAATATTATGATATGGAATTTTTTCATTCAAAAACAAAACATCGAATATGAAAAAAAACATCGATCACAAAATCGATTAATATTAAAAATGATCGGTGTTAATATTCAATGTTTCTACAAAAACATGACAGCGATGTCGCATCCCTAACATAGACCCATATTCCTTGTGCATACCCCCTCTGTAGTGTGTGTACACAAGCACGCGTGACTCATGATTCTATAGCGACACTCACAGGTTCAACAGGTTCAGTGAAATATTACCTGATTTTACTTTCTCCTACCGCTTACGCAGTATATATATATATTATATATATATATATATATATATATATATATATATATATATAATATATATATCTTGCGGCGCGAGAAACTGTGGAATTTTTCGGAGAAAAAAGTCTAATTTGTAAGGCGTGAGAAACGAAAAAGTGGATAAATGTCAAATTTAGAAAAACATATCCTCTAACATTTGGTGTAGCCAGAATCCATGTTTTGGGGGTCCTTGATACCGAAAATAGATTGGCGGCAAAACGTCTGACCGTCTGTCCGTGAACTACGCTAGCGACTAAACCGTTCAGCCGATTTGCTCCATAATTGATATTCCGCAATCGATCTGGCTTATGATGATATGATTATCGCGGCTCCTTGAATGTGAAACCGATGTTTTAGTTTTGGGGTATACTTTGCATGAAGCCCCAGGGATATTTTCACAATTTAAACTAGTGGTGCTACAGAATCGCACAGTCTTTCCCGTATTAGTTTTCTATTTCCATTGGTCTCGGCTAGCTATACAGACTCGCCACACACTCTTGCCAGCTGCCATTGCCGCGCAAAGTATTTTTTTTTTACATTTTCTTAATTTCTCGGCTTTCTAATAGTAGAATCGAGTTGCTTGTATTACTTTAAAAATATTAAAGAACAGTAAAACCTCGTCCCTAATCACAATTTTTATTGAAAAATTTGGAACCGTTTTTAAGAAAATAGCATTTAAGCGCTACTGTACTTTTGAAATTTGAACCTCTTTTCACACAAAACTATTGAGTTTTCGAAAAACTTCATATGACTTCATTTCAAGCACTTCCAGTCACAAATGTAATAGTGTTTACAAATTGCTGAAAATGTGCATGTTAAAGGCGTGAGAGATCTTTCAACAAAATTACATTTGTGTATTTTTGAAAAACAAATTTAATTCTATGTAACTGTAAACAATGCAATTAGCACTATATCTTGTAAAAGTTTAAAAAAATTGGAATCGCTTTAGAGAAAATAGTGTTTGACCGTTTCTGAAAATGCGGAATTTTGAGTTCATTTTCACGGAATTTTTTTGAGTTTTCGGGAAATATTGGCTTAATAGTGACGGGGGTAGGATCTTGAGATGGAAGGGAAAGATTGGGAACAAATATTAGAGAGATGTCTGTTTTCTAAGGAAGGAAAAATGTGGGCAAGGTGAAATATTCAGGATAAGGTGAGGTGGTTATTAGAGGACAATGGCGAAAAAATCAGTACGATTGAAAAATACAGGAAAAGGCTTAGTATATAGCGTATATTATATTTTTGTATTAATGTATTATGAATCTTAAATGTATTGTGCATATTATGTATATGTTTTATTCAACTGTTTTATTTTTACAAAGTTGTAAATTAAATAAATACTTTCATCAGAACAGCAACGCTACCAAGGCTTCTGAAATTACTCCATGATAGACAATTACTTCTAGATGTTATATAGATTAGATTATGAAGCATATCACAGACGTGACTGTTCAACACATTTCTGCGTACGTTTTACAAAGACAATTTTTAAGCAAATTGTAGGTGGTCGATTTTTAGAACAATAAATGCATTCGCTATCGAAAATGGTTGGCGATAGCCCAAATCTCAACACAAAATCGTATTCAGTGTTAAAATACTAAACAAATATGGTTATATTTCTAGTGATAACAATTTTAATTTTGCAGATCTATGTAATTTAAGATGTTTGAGACGCCTTCTCTTTTCTTCCTTTCGTGTCACGGTTAGAAACACTTACCTTGACTCCATTTTCTATCCTCCGATACAACGTAGTTGATTTTCCGCTAAGGGTTCCGGTCAACTTCAGTTCTCTCCCTTCCGCAATTGTTATCGTTTTCCTTACAATTCTTCTCATATATTGTACTTTCTCACTTGCAAGGTCTCCAACATTCAATATATCTTTGATTCAGATTAAATCGCTGATAAGTCCTTTTTTTGCTAAAAATGGCTTGTATATTACTGGGTATTGTTAATTATTACACTACGGCGCGATTTTCATGAAATGTTCTTTCTTTTCACGTTAGAACAATGCCATTTAGTATAAACATTAATTTTACGTTATGACAAAAGGAAATGACCCATTTTCGTCGATTTCGATTAATAAGTCATTTTTTACCTCTTTTCCGCATTTTCAATAGACGTTTTGTTTTCATCTATTTTAATATCATTTTAATGTTACTAGCTTCAAATTATATTTACGAGATGCAACAAATGTTCAACTTCTCTTTTGTTGAGCAGCCTATTCGATTTCTTCGCTCATATACTATTGAAATGTCAACCGTTGTGAGTACTATCTAAACTAAGGTTCCTGAGACGCCTATCGGCACCATTGTCAGTTCTGCCAATTTCGTGATAAATAAAGACTAAGATTTTCTTTTAAAGAATCTTGTAAACCAAAGCAGACGCTTGGAAGCTGAGTTTACTTGAACAAAAGAAAGAAACCTCGATTACAGCAGTAACATATTCAACTACTTGAGTTGTTCATCCTTAGTGGTTTTTATCAATTTTGAACGTAATTTTTCTTTGTTAGTTGAGAATTTTAAAAACATATTAAAAGAATTTTAATGATCATTTTTGGCAATGTTTTTGGTCATCAAAATCCGCCCCCAAATAGTCAGTAACAAAGCCAATTAAATTCAATTAAATTTCTTATGGTTATCGAGTAATGGGCTCATGTGAATTTTTGGATCATACGCAAATTCCATAATTACATTAAGCCTAACAACATAAATTAATTTGTCAGATTATTAACGCTATATCAATGGTTTGCGATAATTAATGAAC